GGCTGACTGTTACTCCATGTCCCCTAGTTTATTGCATGATGGCAGTTTAGTGACAACTTCCATCAAAGACAGTCTGTAAGTTAAATTTAAATTTTGCGCAGTTTATTTGCATGCTTATTTCCGGTGATCCCTCCTTTTTACATGATTGGATACTGTAGTTGTAAATTGCATGGTAAGCTCCCTGCAAGAACCTGAGTGCTTGAAGTAGCCTTGCCAGAAGAAAGATGAATTTTTGGAGGTTGAGATTAAATTTGCAGAGCATCAAGTATTATTTAGCTTCTGAGGCAAAGCAATATTTCAATGTTGAGGTTAAAAATATTGAATTGTTGAGGTAGCATTAAAATGTCAGACACTGATAGAGGCAGAAACAGAACATTTCAATTGCTTTTGATTCTGTGGTCTTATAGTTTCTTATTAAGGTTTATAAGCAAGTTTGCGTTATTTTTTAATGTTGTTGTATTATCTGTTTCTTGCACTTGAAGTCACAGAGCTGCCTTGTTCAACCGTCAGTATTATCCCTTCTTTTAATATGAACCAAATATGAACCAGTATCAACATTCCTTATATGGTGAACTAGCATAGACATTTTTGTTATTAAGATGGAAAATTATTCCACTTGGAGCTAGATGTATTTTTTAGACAATTGTAGAGATGTCTGGTTAAACCTCACGAGGATTGATATTTCCTCCATGAAATAGCAAAATTTGGGCTTTATTATAATTATACTTGTTTTGAAATGATCCTCGTAGTTACTTGATTGCTTTTCCTTTTTTGTTCACGGAAATGAAAACTATCGTAAAGTGTAAACTATGACTGAAACACCTTATGTGATATAGGTTTCCTGTATCTTATTACCCACTATTTACTGCCTTTTTGTTATTTGAAAAGACAAATAAAGAAATGCTGAAACTATAACTTTAGCTCAATATACTTGTTAGTGCCATGGAGCTTGATGATCATATGATTGATCTAATGACTGTTTTTCACCTGGAAGTGTATCAAAAGATAATTACTAAATTGCTTGGGAAACATTACTGTTTTGTGCTTTGTTCATTAAAAAAAATTTACATTTGATTCTTTATTTTATGTTTATTTATTTTTTATTTTGGTGTCCAGCCATCCTTTTATGGGCCTGCAGAAAAGAAATTGAGGGTTTAACTATACATTGTTTCTTTTATCAATATAAAATATGACATTTATGATAGGGCACACTATTTATAAGTCATAAACAATGCAACTCCTTTCTTAGATTTAATATATTGCACAAGAAAACTGAGGCAAAACTCTAGTTATAACCTTCAAGAACCAAAGTTTGAATTTAGTAAAAGAGATGCTCTGCGTTCTCTTATGTCTCATTTTCACCTTGAGATGACAATAAATTTGATAGTAGCTAAATAAGATTGATTAAATCCACGAATAACACTGCTCCTTCCAAACTCATTTTTTGTATCTTTTGGTTAGTAACTCTGCTTTGTTTCTGCAGGGGATATGAATCAGGCCCAGGAGCAAGAGGTTGTAGTGGATTTTTGTGTTGGAACAACTCCAGCCGTCGAAGGGTAAAGGTAGGCTATCTCTGTGCTTTGCTTGTTTATACTTAAAAAAAAAAAAAAGTCAATATTCTTTTTGTGTAAAACTGTATCTTCTCTCTTTACAAAACTTGCTAACTTTCAATCTATTCCTGTTAGGCTTTTTTCTTTCAGTTTAACTTCTCATCCTTTAGATTACTGTTGATGCTATATTAATGTAGATGCTAACAGATGGTTGAGTTGGATGTTTTCTACTTAGGTGGCAATAGTTAACTCAAGCCTAGCACACACGCTATCAAAATAGTATTAATTCAGTCAATGAAACCAGTGTTGGTGGGGAACTTTGGAGATACTGAGCTTTTGAATTTACTGACATCAAGGTTTCTGATCAGAGCTTTTTCTTTGAGTAAGCATATGCAAATTAACAAATATGATCAAGTCTAGTGGAGACCAATGGAGTACGGGATACAGATAGTGGCATAATGAATAGTTGGTTTCGCATCTCAATAACTGGCTCTTGTGCGATGCCCGTCTCGGTCCTATGTTAGCCTGCGTTATGTATGAAAATGGAATTCAAGGGAAATACTGAAAGAATGAATGGGCAAAATTCAAAATGCATTTTATCTGTCAAGGATAAAAGTAGGAGTTTTCATCTTTTAGAAGCATTTACTTTTGACATATCTATATATCCTTCCATGATATCAAAATTTGAGTCTACACTAAAAAATTTTCTTTTTGTTTTATCACTGAATAAAACTTTTCCGTGACTCTGAACAAACCTGGCGTGTTTTTTATTGTAAGCAGGTAAAAGGTACCCCAGTGCGGAAAGTGGGGCGCTTTTCAATGTTTGGTGAGTGTGGTAAGTCAAAGAGAAAGAGTTGAGAATCTGACCCTGGGCACGTTATTCAGATCTAGTTTTGCCTATATACTTCCTTTTTTTCTTCAAAAAGTTTTGTGTAGGTTTATTTTTCCCCTTCCATTTGAGCGATTCTTCAAGGATGTGAGTGAAAAAATGTAGAGGTTATTTATGTTCATCTTGTGTTCCTTTTGCTCCATCCCTTATTTAAGAAATCAATAAAGCGGGACAAAGAATGAACACCTTTATTTCCCTTTCCCCAATTTCGTTATTTTCAGTATTCTGTGAGAAAGTTCATTGCAAATCTCTTTACTCTATCTTTTTTTTTTTTCCTTTTGACCTGGTGTTTAATTTATCCTTTGAATCAAGGGAACAATATAGTTTCGCATAACTGTTGTCTGCTATAAAAGGCTTCCTTCCTTCCTTCCTTTTCGTGTAGCAGATAAGAACTTGATCAATTTGATTAATAAATGCTCATACTTTCTGGTATTTGACAAAGATAAAGACAAATTAAGGGGGGAAAAGGGAAAACCAAGAAGTACAAGCTGAAACATGTGAGAAGCTCAATAAACAAAGCTGGTACTATTGGCTTAGGTAAAATATTTTTGGAAGAGTCACATATTCTTATATTGTAAGCAATGCAATTTCTTATCATTTAAATATTTTTTTTTTCGTAGATTACAAATGAAACGGAGATAAAATTCCACTCTGGGTTTTATTTTGTTATACATGTGATCAGAAAAAGTGACTTAAAACTGGGATTTTGAGAGCGTTATGATTTGTTTCTTTTATTTATTTTTATCTCTTATTTATTATGTTTTATGCTGACATTTGTCACATCAGATTATTGAAACCTGGAAGAAAGGAAAACAAAGTAAGAAAGCAAAGGAAAATGTAAATAAAAGAAGGGAGAGATTGAATAGTTCCATATCCTTTTTGTATTGTTCGGGAAGAGAAAAGTGTAAAGGGAATGAGGAGTTTTTTTTTTTTTTTTTTGTTACAAGGAGGCGGGATCCAACCCGCAACACACACCCCACACGCCCACCGCTGCCGGCCGGTGGTGGAATGAGGAGTCATTTGCTGTGACATTTATTGGTCGAATTGAATTGTTTGATTTGATAGAAGACAAAAGATTTAAGAAAAACTTCTATAATTATTCAGAGTACTAGTAGTTTCAATGTGCATGCATGGGCGAATCAATTCAATTTCTCTTATCATTAAATTTTTGGGAAAATGACAAACAAAAACGTTGAAAAATGTAATATTCTAAATCAGGCACCAAAAAATTAAAATTGACAAAAGAAAGTGGTGTCTGATTTTTTGCAAATTTAATTAAATGATGTCCTTATATCAAAAAACTTGTTAACAAGTTCTGAATTGACAATTACAAGTGTTAAATAGCAAATGACCAAAAAAATATTGGTAATGACAAATTATTTAGGGGAAATTGCAAAAACGCAGATAGGAACCCTTGATAACTTTACTTTGGGTTTTGACAACTTCAGGGCATATTATTCTTGTCAAAACCCAAAATGAAGTTGTCAAGGGTCCCTATCTGCATTTTTACAATTCCAAAGTCTTTTTTTGCAATTTTTCCAATTATTTATTGATAAGGTGTGAACTAGCAATAACAAGTATTGAACAATTACTGACAAAAAATGCACTGGGAATAACAAGTTTGATTTTTTTTTTTCCAAATCTGTATAAGAGCATTTTAATCATTTAATCACATTTGTAAAATACCAAATCAAACATTACTTCCTTTTCTGTCATTTTTAACTCTTAGGTACCTAAACTGAGAAATGATAATTTCAAGGTTCCCTCTCTGAAATTTTTCCTAAATTTTTTTAGAGATGATTTTTGGGGTAAAAAATTATATAAAGGGAACTTTAATTTGCAAATTAACTTGTTTTCTTTTCACCAAAGACAAAAAGAAAATGATATTCCAATAAAATAAAAGATCCTCGCAAATTACAACAGCTTAGCTATCCTACTTTATGAGAATTAAAATTGAGAAAACCAGATTTAAAAATAACAGTTTTTTAAATGAAAAAATAAAAATTAAAAAAAAGGGTTTGGACATAAGAAAAATTACCAATGAGAGCAAGAATTTCTTCCCAAGTGCAAGTGACATTAAGGACAGGCAACTCAATAGTAGGGACTTAACTTTTTCCCTATACAATGAATATGCAAAAGAGGCTATCTAAAATGCTCCTCAAATTAGAACTACAAATTCAAAAAAGTCTTAAGCATTTGGAGTGAAAAGTTGAACTTGGAACGGCTTTGTTCTTTAACAAGAATTTCTTTATTCCCCGAATAACAGATAATACCATAATAATGTTGTCTTAGCCTTTTAATATTTAAGGGGCAGCACACCCCATCCTTCTCTATTTAAGATTATACCAAAGTGTTAACAAAAGTAAGGATAATTACAAATAAAAATAATCTTTTAATTATTATTTTTTACATTGAAAAAAGCTCAGTTAGACAGACATCCCCGAAAATTGAGACAGGTTACAAAGGTTTTGATCGAATCAAATGATGTACCTAATCCATGTTGTATAAACTTCGTTTTTCAGACTTTGTATGATATTACCTCCAGTCCTTAATATAAGAGTTCATTTGACATGCAACTTGATCATAAATATAAGATCCCAGTCTACTTTGTTTCTCATATTTATCTATTTTTTTAAGATAGTCTTTGTAATAGTTGCACATGTTAAATGTTCCATCAAATGATAGTTTTAACTAATACACATAATTAAAAAGGATATTTTAGGAAAGACAACACTTATTTATGACAAATAATTAACTTAACTAATCTTTTTAATCTACTCAAATTAAGTAACTAACACTTGTATTAAGAATTGGAGATAGTACATAAAATCCAACTATTTAGTTCATGCGAATAAATCTTGCTTACACGACTTTGAATAATACTAAACAATTTTACTCCTATTCTCTGAACTTCGATTCACCAGTAGCACTAAAATCATCAAAGAATTGCTAAGTACTAGTGGAATCTTAATGAGCCAAAGAAAAATGGAAAATAAATTTCACAGATAGAATTTCTAGTCCCCAAGTACTGTAACATGTTTGGATTGTCATTAAAGAAGTGAGAGAGGGTATGCAAGAATGGGAGACTCTTGTATCATTATGAAATACTGCCTCTGGTTCTATATGCAAAAGACAGTTTTTGGGATTAGCATCATCTTATTATTTACAAGTGTTCGAAATTTTAAACCTTTTTGTTTTCTATTTTTGCCCGGTTAATTGCGTCTTATAACACTGCATTAATTCTTTTTCTCACTTTATCTCTCCACAAACAAGAGTACTTTGAGGGGAAAATATATTCTTATGTAACATCTTACTCCAAAGATTTAGATGAGAAAGATTTATCATCAATGATTGAAATCTTACGCTAAAAAGGTGATGTTTTTAAAACCTTTTACTCAACTCCATACAAGTCTTTTTAAGAATGAGATTTTCTGAAAATTTTAGCAATTTATAAATCCTTATTTTCTAGCTTCATTATTGGTTCATACTTGCAACTTGTACTCCTGAAAATCTTCAGCTATAAATTAAAGACCCAGATTCGCCCCAAATCCATTGGTTTAGCAATATTTATTTATCAGTGCTGTCCAGATTTTACTTTCGAAGACTTTGCTCCCCTGTTCCAGCTCTAATAAATCATAACTGGTAAATTACACATCCAATCCAAAATATTGGATGTGTACTTCATGGATTCATTCACATCTCACGTATAATCTATATCACTAAAACCCAACTATGTAAGATCTACTCCCCTCCTGCATTCCTCCACACATACAATCATATCAGTAAAGTTTAAATGCTCCACAAAATGGGAACATAAACAGAAAAAATATTAATGTCACATTGATTAACAGTAACAAATCAACTAAACTTCCCCTTTTTCCACCTTAGCTATGCTCCTACCAGCTTCTCTTTTTCCTTGACTGAAATAGGCCCTATTGTCAAATCCATAGAAGAGAGCAGTGAGGTTCAGGGAATCTCAATAGCAATAATCATATTTCAGTATATTATGTATGGTAGAAGCTGAGCATGCAAAACAAGTTTCAAAGAACATCTGATAGATAATTGAACTAAATAACTTGTACGTATTTGCTATTATATAACTGAATCATATATATATATATATATATATATATTTGCGCATATTCAATGATAATAAGTAAATTGAATAGCTATCTGATGTGCATTAGCCTTCATATAACTGAATCACATGCATACACACATGCACATACAGGTGCGCGTGCGCCCACACTCACATAACGCGTGCGCACGCACAAAGGTCTTTTGAGCATATTCACTTATAATAGCTCAACTAAATAGCTAACTGATGAGCATATACTTTGCAGAATACTGCACTATATCGTGAAATGGGTGCACATGGCCATAACAATATCTATGGCAAGAAAATTATATATTCTCATGCTTAACTATCGCAAGTATGAGACAAACAAACATGCAACCAATGCAAAACATACGAAATTAATAATTAAAGCTACCTTTCTCCTGCTCTGTTGTGTTGGTACACCGCTCTGGGTTTCTTCTTGATAGCTCCGGCCACAAATCAAATCCTAACATTATACGTGTACACAAGGTAAATCAAGAGTTGGGTTATGGTTAACTTATAACTAACTAAATCTTCCTATAACCTCCACTCAAACTCTCGTCTTTTGAAGTGATCGATTATCTAGAACAAAAATTTTATATTTTATCTTTATATTTCTAAGGCCCTCCTAAGCCTCCCCTTTTCGTATGTTCCTCTTAGCTTCTTAATGCATTATGATTCAGCTAAGGGAATAAGAGTCAACTTAGTTATTAACTCTTCAAGCTTCTTGAATAATTGTTTAGCATAGATAAGCATAAAATAAAGACTTAAATCATCATTCCAATGCCTCCAACTATAAATAGCTGTATGGACATTGACTCAACATTTAGAAATATTTAAAAAGAATTTCAAATCAGTTCCTAAGCTCTGATTCATAATAACTTTCAACTTTTAAAACATTACCCAAATCACCAGCAGTGCACAAAATCTCTACAACATTCCAAACAGCACCATTTTATCAAATCTGGAAATTTGCCCCTAATTAAGCATCACCTAAAGCATTTGTTTAACACTATAAAAGTTCCAAATTCAAAGAAATGCCTTCCCCCATGCTTCACACAGCCTTCTTCCCAAACAAATTTAACTATCCAAGTTGATTATTCAGCACTTAGGAGCATCAACAAGAAGTCTTACAT